AATACAGATTCTAGGGATTATGAAATTCAAGATCCAAATTCTGCTTCAAATATCAACTTTAGTTGGAAGTGTAATAGCCTATCCTCTAATGACCATATCTGCTATGATTACTAAAATAAGTAAATTTAATTGCAACAAGGGGCCAGTAGTATTACGTTTCCTGCTAAAACCTTTTAGCCATACACTATAATTTAGTTTACAGTTGTAGGATAAAAAGATTCTAGGCAATCAAATTTCACGACTACTTGTATTTTCACAGAATTAGATATTCCTCCACTAAATATTTTAACAGCAACACACATTAACCGAAAAATTAATTTGAATGATGATCTTAATTTTTAAATAAATTATGGTGAGAATGTTTCATCTGATTCCTTGTCTTATGCTGGAGCTATATTATATGATAATAATCCAGTTGCAGCAATCAAATTTGATTATTTCCAAATTAGATTCAGAATTTGGAACTATTTTTAAAATATAGATCCCTCAAAGCAAACACTTTAAATAAGATTTTCTGTGTATAATCCATTATATGTTATGCCAAGCTTGTCTACAATTAGTATTTAAATTAATATTCCACCTCAGAATTGCGTTTTAAGTATAAATCCTTTATAAGGAATAGCGCTTGAAACTATCTTTTAGATTTAATTATTGAATTGTACAGATGAAGATCTTCCTCTAACTTATTAGTTCTTCTATTACAATAGTGCAGATGATGCCCATCAAGAATTAATTTCACCTTGGAATATTTTAAGAAGATAGATATAAGATTAGACTATAAACAACTCAATTTAAACAGTACTGCCTTAAGGAAATCTAGTTTTTATGGTACAAGTAATGGATTCTTAGCTAGGAGTTTATAATACCTCTTCTACAATATAGGTTCAAGCTTAGAATAAATCAGCTGATGAATATTATAAACTGGTAAATCAACAGACTTTTTTAGCTTTATAGAGCTCAAATATATAAATCACAAACTAACTAGTGACTTTAAGCATTATAGCAGAAGACATCAGTAAAAA